AAAAACAGGATTAAGAGTATAACAGTGCAAACAGTATTGTAAACAGTTGGTGTACAGCAGTTGACTGTACACAGTGCAATTTGTTTGTATATATAATATATATTTTGAGTTTATAAAAGTGGCTGGTGCCATTTGGTTTGTGCGTAGTGGTGGGTGGGCGGGGGGTGTGTGTCATTGTCCAGTGTTTGTGGGGGCAGAGGGTGGGGTGTGTGTGTCAGTGTCCAGTGTTTGTGGGGGGGCTTGGTGGATGGCTTGGTGGATGAAGCTGTCTCTCAGTCTGCTGGTTCTCGCCCAGAGGCTCCTCATTCTCCTCCTGGAAGGCAGGAGGGTGAAGAAGGGGTGGTTGGGATGGGTGGAGTCGCCCGCAATGCTGAGTGTATTTTGGGCCAGGCGTGTGTTGTAGATGTCCTGAAGGGAGGGGAGGGGGGCACCGATGATCCTCTCAGCTGCTTTCACTATGCGCTGCAGGGTCCTCCGGCAGGATGCGGTGCAGCCGCCATACTACACAGCGATGCAGCTGGTCACGATGCTCTCGGTGGTTCCACGGTAGAAGGTGTGCATGATGGGGACCGGTGATCTGGCTCTTCTCAGTCTGCGGAGGAAGTAGAGGCACTGCTGAGCTGTTTTGGCCAGTGATGCGGTGTTGCTGCTCCAGGAGAGGTCCTCACTGATGTGAACACCCAGGAACTTGGTGCTACTCACTCTCTCCACAGCAGCACCGTTGATGGTCAGTGGAGGGTGCTGGGTGGAGGTTCTCCGGAAGTCAACAACAATCTCCTTCGTCTTCTCCACATATAGAGAGAGGGAGAAGGGGCTGTGCATGCATCCATGGGGGGCCCCTGTGTTCATTGTGATGGTGCTGGATGCGTTGCTGCCGACCCGGACTGCCTGTGGTCTTCCGGTCAGGAAGTCCAGCAACCAGTTGCAGAGTGAGGTGTTTAGTCCTAGACAGTCCAGTTTCTGTATCAGCTGCTGGGGGATGATAGTGTTGAAAGCTGAACTAAAGTCTAAGAACAGCATCCTCATGTAAGAGTCCTTAGTGTCCAGGTGAGTAAGAGCTGAGTGGATGGCGGTGGAGATTGCATCATCGGTGGACCAGTTGGCCTGATATGCAAACTGGTAGGGGTCCAAGGAGGGAGGGAGGATGGATGTGATGTGCTGCATGACTAACCGCTCGAAGCACTTCATGATGATGGGGGTCAGTGCCACAGGGCGGTAGTCGTTGAAGCACGATGGAGATGCCTTCTTTGGAATAGGGACGATGGTGGTGCTCTTGAAGCAGGTGGGGACAACAGCTTGGTTCAGGGAGGTGTTGAAGCTGTCTGTGAGGACATCTGTGAGCTCCTCTGCACAGTCCTTAAGCACACGACCAGGAATGTTGTCAGGTCCAGCAGCTTTGCAAGCGTTGATCCTGGAGAGGGACCTCCTCCTCTCAGTGTTGTGTAGACCAGGTCCAGTGTGTTTTGTCCCCAGAATCCACCAGATGATATCCTCCTGACTCCAACTTCAGAGACGAGTCATCTGCTACCTGCACCTGCTGCTGTGGCAGAGTATGGGGTTGGGCAGGGAGATTTGTCGTGGTTCCGACTTCTCATACTGCGAACCAGAACCTTGGGCATTTGGTGATGGGGGGGAATTGGTCAGTCAGGTGGGTATAAGTTGGCCAAGAGCTCCAGGGAAACTCCACAGGGAATAAAGAATCCACCAGATGATATCCTCCTGACTCCAGCTTCAGAGACGAGTCGTCTGCTACGTACACCTGCTGCTGTGGCAGCGTATGGGGTTGGGCAGGGAGATATGTCGTGGTTCCGATTTCTCATACTACGAACCAGAACCTTGGACATTTAGTGTAATAACATCAAAATCCATTGCACTTGTCTGTGCACAGCCTGTAACCACTGTAGGGGATTCCCTCTGGAAGAAAACGTAGTCTGTACGAAGTGGTTACAGACTGTGCAATTTTGATTTTATTACACCACCTGTTGTTGAGAAAGATGCAGACACCACCACCTCTTTCTTTGCCCGACTGCCTAGTTCAGTCTGCTCACAACAAGGTGAAATGATAACAACTGACCTCAGTGTCTGGACAGGCCTCATCAAGCCAGGTTTCAGTCAGGGCGGTGATACAGGCGTCTCTGAAGACCCTATTCACCTTACACTGGAATAACTACATTTTTTTATTCTTGAACGTACATTTGTCAGTATGATCGTCTGAAAGGACGCTTCTTCAGTCTCATGCATGCACCTCCTCACTTCCGTCTCTTACATGGATAGATCAGCGATGTGGGAATACCTGCCTGTTTTGTGTTTCAGAGGACAGAAGAAAGTAATTAGAGAAGAACATCCTGGCTGTAGGTGAGTGGTCTGTAGACGTTTACCTCTGGTTGCAGCAGTGCTCAGCTGTTCATTAATGATCCAAAGGACTTGTGTGATCCAGACAATTTTGCATTGTGGATGCAGAGCTAGATGAGGGTGATACCCAAAAAACTCACTAAACAAGACTTGACAGATTGGAAGCCGACATGAACTGTAACAGCAAGACAAGACTGACTACAATGTCGAAGCAGAACCTGCATCTGAGAACATTATCTATTTATAATACAATATATCTTGCTATATTTGCCAAATCCCTTCCTTTTTTTCCCCTTCATTCTTTTTTTTGTTTTGTTCTGCTTTTGTTAACTGTCTTTGTCTCTCTGTTGTAGTTAAGTGTTTGTGTGTAAAAATTAAATAAAAATAAAACATCTGTTACGAGCTGTTTTTCGCTGAGTTACAAATTACCCACGTCTTAAATGAAGCCGTCTATCTTTAGATTAAATGCATTGATTTTGTTGGTCAGTATAAAAGACAGTCATTGATTCACTATTAGTTGTTCGGTAGTCAGTTCATGAACAAATATATTAATAACCATTCGTTCTCCCGGCATAGCATCCATTATGGGGCTTCACTTCCTTTTCCCTTTCCTTGTGTGTTTCTTTATTCTGGGAGCCATTTGGGTTATCTATTGAGAAATTTGCCCCTGGTCACTAGTTTCCTAGTTTTAAAATTATCAGTCCCTGTTGACCCGCCACTTTTGTTGTTTGGATTCCCTGGTAATGGTAATATTTTCCCTCTGGGTACTAAACCAGTTACACACTGATCAATGCCTGAAAGAATTGATAAATCAACTTTTAAATAAATAAGGTCAATCACAGATTCCTGCTGTGCTGGAATTGTTTTTTTTTCTAAGTAATGTTGGTGTTAAGGCTTTTAACAAGTTCTTTGCATGCAAAATTTGTCAAACCTTTATCAAGTCAATGCAAGCTTTCACAAGACTGGACATAATCATGTTTTCCGCTACGTTCATAGTTTCAGCGCTTTCCCACCACTGAATAATTATAACTTTGCTGCTTCAGGAAAGGGGACACACACACACACACACACAGAGAAACACACAGAGAGAAACACACTCTGGCTGTGTTTTAACTTCTTTGTTGCAGAAGAAGGCATGCCCTGTTTATTCAGGAACATAAATATGAATTCAGCACGTTTTTATAAAGATCAGTTCTAAGTGTGATGATTTGAAAACATCAGAGCAGCAGAGTCACTTGTTGACCTGCGCAGAGTATTGCGCCTCAGTGCAGTGGTGCTGATTTAAGATAAGATTAAACTTTATTAATTCACGAACCAGGGAAATTCAGTTGTTTCCGCAGCAGGCAAGTCACAATGCAGTAGACAAGAGAATAAAGAAATATAAAAAGGCAACAGAATAAAAATTAAGTAATTAATTAAACAATTCTGAGTATGTACATTATATACACCTTTTGAATGTAGTGGTTTGTATGCAATGTTTTAAGTAAAGTGCAGTGGCACAGGACGATTGTACAAGTAAAATCCGTTTTCTTGAATTAATTAAAAAGGTTTGGTTTTCTGGTTATTTGATTAATATCTCAATATATATAATGGCCGAGTCATGGTGCGCAATGCCCAGTTAGACGCACACGGAACCCGCGCCCCTCTTCACCTGCAGTATTTGGTGTCAGTTAATTTTTTTTCCAGTGTTCCAGAGATCCCAGTGCCTGTGTGCTGCTGTCTGTGCCCCGCCAAGTTCACCCACATGCTTTTCTGTTATGAAGATTAACAAAAACCCACACAGGAGTCATCTCATTAATGCACACCTTCACTCCATCTTGAGGGTTTCCACAGCAAAGAACCTAACCCCAAACTTTAAAGAACGGGCTAAAGAAATTAATAAAAGGTGAATGAAGCCTACCTAAATATGTTTTCTTTTTGCACTTTATCCAATATCCTGTCTATCCCGTTAAATAAATGTTGACCCTCGTCCCAGTTTTTAATTTCGGCCTTCTCTGTGATTGAGTTTGACTCCACTGGTCTACATTATTGAGGAATCTATTTATATTATTGGGGTCTGGTTCATTGTCATTGAAGGTATACAGTTCACGGTAAAATGTTCAAAAAGTGTTATCAAGGTTATCACATTTCGCATGTTTTCCTAATATTGTGCAGCCCTACTAATCATAACTTACTAGAACCTGATCAGTACATGCAGAGGCTGCATTTAAACATAATGAAAATTGAGACATCAACGTTTTGTGCACACTACAACACCAGGACAAGCATTGGTGAAGTGATATTGTGACACTTAAAGTTACAGTGTGTAGAATCTAGTGTTGAAATTGCATTTTGCAGCTGAACACCCCTCACCTCACCCTCCCCTTCCAAATATGAAAAATAACCTGTGGTAGCCTTCAGTTTTCATAAAAACACAAAAGATGTTTGGTTTGTTTAGTCCGGACCAGGGTTATTATAGTTAAGGAAAACTAAGACTAAAACTAAAACTAGCAATGAAAATATAATTTAGTTAACTGAAATAAAAATAAAAACGACAATTCCAAAAAAAATTAAAACTAAATTAAAACTACAAAACTGAATTGCAGATAAATTCAGCTTCGTTTTTGTTTCCTTTTCTCCCTCGATTACTGCCTGTCCTGCAGGTGATGGTTAAAGAATGAAATTAAAGGACTTGATAAACCATATTTGGTGTCACACATTGTTTAATCCTTTTTCAGCTTCTACAAGTCACGGCTTTCTCTTAATACCTGGAAAAACTAAAACTAAGACTAAAACTAAATAAAAACTAAACTGAAACTAGTCGATTCCTCAAAATAAAAACTAAACTAAAACTACAAAATCACATGTTGAACTAACTAAAACTAAACTGAAATAAAAAAACTAACTGAAAAACTAAATAAAAATAAAAACTAATGAAAATTTCAAAACTATAATAACCTTGGTCTGGACTAATGTAAAAAACATGGCAGCCTCCATAGAGAGGACCCCCTCGATGTAAATATAAGGAATTTAAATAAAAAGGGCCTTTTGTGGGGTAAAGACAACTATAATTCATACAATTTAGATGAAATTAACTAGTGAAAACATCATGAGGATTATTCTACATTAAATTTCTGCCAATAGTTCCCTTTCACCTAAATCTTACACACTGGACCTTTAAGCCTCTACATTGAATAGTGATGGCGTACACTTTGACAGAATGCCAACAAACAGGAAATGGTTGTAACGTCACTCCATATGCTTAAAAACTCCCCAAATTATGCAGGCACATTACATCTGATGAACATTTATATATTTTAATGTTTACAGCAACATACATCCAAAAATGGCTCAATAGCGCCCCACTATAAATTTTCAACATGGGTCTTCCTACCCCTTTACTTTTGTCTAGAGTAATGAAAATTTGCACACGTGTGTCATGCCTAGATGCACTTAACATCCTCTACCTACCCCTGGCCACAACCAACAGAAAGGCCACCATTTTGGATTAAACGTGCAATTTTGGCTTGATTTTTGGCATTTTCACATTTTACAAAATCATACTTTCACCTACAGATTTCGTGCAATCGACTTCACTTTGGTTTATGTCATGTTAGAGACTTATTTATGAGTTTACGTCAGGGGCGTGGGTTAGGATCCATGGCGGTGAATTCGATGATACCCGTGAAAACAATAAGTGCTCATAACTTCCATGTACACTTTCAAATCAGCCTGACACCAAATATATACAACAAAGGTCCCGCCCTGAACAGATCCATATGATAATATTTAATAATAGTCATAGTGCGACCTTGCTGTAACAAGAAATGTAATGTTTTACATTGAAGAAGTCCTTATAAGGTCCATGTATATTGTCCAATCTGCCTCAAAGTGAGTATGTACTAGGGCTGTCAAAATTGCTCCAAAATGACGTTCGAATATCCGCTCTAAAAAAACACATAGGTTTGAACCATTCGAATAAATGAGCATGCGCAATGCGCATTATGTCAATCACAGGAGGACAAACTAATACAACGAGACATAACTACCTGTATTGGTATTTTTATTTCAGTTTTAACATAAAACATACCTACACATTACAAAATAAGTAAATGAAATAACCGTAAAACTTAGACCGCTGCCTGCTGAACAGAGTGTCGCGGGAAGAGGGATCTGAAGTGCCCGTGTTTCGGCTACAAAACCCAGCCGAACCGATCTGAAACCAGCTCAAATTTGTATCCACCCTCCTGGCAACCCTGGTCGAGTCTAACTTTCAGAAGTGAGTGACGCTGTGCAAGTGCAACTCCTGTGGCCTGTCCCTGACCCGTCATGCAGTGCGCCCACTTGCAAAGCAGCCGCTGATGTGTTTTTTTCCACAGTCGAATATTTATTTTCACAATCAAATCACAGTTTTTTAAATATTCGAATATATATTCGAATTAAGAATATTCGTTGACAGCCCTAGAATGTACAACAACCAAGTTCTTGCCCTAAACAGATCCATATGATAATATTTGATAATAGTCATAGTGCCCACTAGTTGTAACAGGAAATATCATGTTTTACATGTTGGTGTCTGGCAGCTAGCCGCACAACATTGTGAAAATGAGGAACATCCTGTCTCAGAAGGATAATGAGAAATTCGTCCACGCTTCTGTTACCTCTAGACTAGATTACTGTAACTCTACATTATCAGGTTGTCACAGGAAGTCTGTGAAAAGCCTCCATTTGGTACAAAATGCAACTGATTGCAGAGTGCTGACTGGAACTAGAAGGAGAGATCATATTACTCCTGTCTTAGCTTCTCTGCATTGGATCCCTTTAAAATTCAGAATAGAATACAAGATCCTGCTCCTCACATATAAAGCCCTTAACAATGAAGCCCCTTCATATATCAAAGAGCTCATAACACCGTATTATCCAAATAGATCACTTTGTTCCCAAAACGCAGGCTCTCTTGTGGTTC